CAGTATATATATATATATATTAGTGCTGTCAAATGATTAATCACGATTATAAATAAAAACTAGTATGCTTTTGTATGCTGTGTATATTTATTATTATTATATTTACAGTATATATTTTGAAAATATGTACATGTATTTACATGCATATATTTATATTAATATAACGTATGTTATATAAATATATTTAATATATAAACAATTTTTTTCTTAAATATATACATGCATGTGTTTGCATTTATATATACATAACAAATATACAGTACACACACACATATATTACACAAACAAAAACTTATTTTGTGTGATTAATCGTGATGAATCGTTTGACAGCACTTACACATATTTGTAAATATATTCAAAAATTGTTAGTTCATGTTAGCTAAACGATTAACTAATCTTAACAAATAGGACCTTGTTGTAAAACATTGCTGATGTATTAAAAATGGTTGATTATATGTTTCAATTTGTAGTATAACAATACAATTATATATATTACACATTATATAATTTAATATATAATATTGTTTAATATTATTTATTTAACGTTTCTTTGTCCATCTTGAAATTCAACTTTATTGAATATTAAATTTGGCATTTGATCATATGGAAGCAACCAATGAAATATGTACTTATCTATTGTTTAGGGTTAAACCATTTTTTAAAAATACGTCAATATATTATTAGGCAAGTTGTAAAGTGTTTAATTTATATTTTTACTTTTGAATGAATAAACGGATAACTGATTCCTTCCTTTTGGAAGTGGGGTTTCTAGTCCTCTACACATTAAATGTTCTGCTATCATTAAGTTACATTCCCCTCATATGAAGTCTCCATATCATGTGCTCACTTGATGCTGGGGCGAAACTGAGGCCGGCCTCTCCCAGACAGCTCCCTCAGGCGGCCCATAATGCCCGGGGGTAAGTGGATGCGGGGGAGCTCACAGCAAGCCCCCGGCATGAGGACGTCTGAAGGATAGGTGAACTCTCGCTCCTCATCAATGGTGAGAGGTAGAGGAGACGGAGACGGCGTGAGGGCAGGAGAGATTGCACCATTAGCCTCCACCTGCCACTGACACCTTACACAGAACAGCAACAAAGACATATTAAACACATTCAACAATTGTGACCCTGCAGCATAAAAGCAGTGTTAAGTCGCTGGGGTATATTTGTAGCAATAGCCAACAATACACTGTATGGGTCACAATTATTCATTTTTCTTTTATGCCAAAAATCATTAGGATATTAAGTAAAGATCATGTTCCATGAAGGTATTTTGTAAATGTCCTACTGTAAATATATCAAAACTTAATTTTTGATTAGTAATATGCATTGCTAAGAACTTCATTTGGACAACTTTAAAGATGATTTTCTCAATATTTAGATTTTTTTGCACCCTCAGATTCCAGATTTTCAAATGGTTGTATCTCAGCCAAATATTGTCCTGTCCTAACAAACCACACATCAATGGAACGCTTATTTATTCAGCTTTCAGATGATGTATACATCTCAATTTCAAAAACGTGACCCTTATGACTGGTTTTGTGCTCCAGGGTCACATATATGCATTAAATTGATCAAATATGACAGTAAAGACATTTATAATGCTATTCTTTTTCTGAAGAAAAACAAAGATAAATAATGAGGAAAGCCTAAATATTAAATCTCATGGATGTATATTCCACTATATTGTAGTAGGGGGTCAAAATGACAATTTCACTTGAGATTTGGAGCCAAATTACTGGGGGTCAAAATGACTTTTGTTATTTTTACACAGAAATGTTTTGTGAAAAATTTCACGAAAATTTCAAAAAATATTAAAAGATCCAAACTTTTGATCAGTAGTGTAAATGACAGACATTAAAGGTTTAATACATCAATATACATTAAAGACTATTATTTGATCAACAACAATCAAATATTTTATTATTAAGGGTTAAAAATATGTTTATTTGTCTGTTTTTGGAAATTGTGTTTAAAATGCTGGCTCAAAAATCTGCCTGTGATTTGTTGTTTCAGTTTGTTGCAATGTGTACACGTTTGTCTATTAATGATTTTGTATCTACCTTTCTCCACGGGGGGAAAAAAAAGTGCCGCATTTACACTGCAGGTATTGATGGCCACTTCCGATGTTTTTTGACGACTCCTACATCATCTTTTAAAATTACCTGTCTCTGATATCTTCATTTACACTACACTTTGGCGAAACGGACGAAAAATAACATTATGATATCAAGAAATCAATTTCAATAGCACATTAAGTTTAATTTATTGACATGGAATTCACAGTAACATTTTTAATGCAACAGTTTCATCCTTGCATCAAAATCTTTTATATCCGATCTGTCTGCTTACATGGCAGGCGCAAATGCACGTATCTGACTCATATCAGATTTATTTCCACGTATGAATGAGGCCTGAAACCGATCTGAGAATATCAGAATCCATGTGCTTTTTTTCCAGCTTGCAAGTCCGTGGGTCATATCCGATCTGTGCCACATCATGGGAGGAAAAAACAATCGGAATTGGGTCACTTGAACCATGCAGCGTAAATGTGGCCTAAATGACTAGAAACCCTGTAAACGCAGCAAACATCTGAAGCTTGCATTCAGACGGGTTTTAAGCACTTGTATTCACAAGCACTGAAGAGCAGCTGATGTTACAGTGTTTGTGCACGGCGGGTGAAGCAGCACACCTCTGCAGTAGTTTGGAGCAGAGCAGGTCGTGGCAGGCCTCCTCCTCTCGTGTGATATCGGGGCCGTTATAGAGGATGCGTAACATGGCGCAGGCCAGCACAGATAAACCCAGAGCTAGATCAGCCAGGAAGGGCAGCCCGCCGGACACATCCTCAGACGACTCCTAAACAAGCAACAGAATCAGTGCAAACAAGCAAGGTGAAGCATTTGCCCATTTGTAGTTTATTTTCATTTTAATTAGGCCTGCCGATTTAATGATTTAATTTGGTGCAATTATAATGTGCAAAAATGATTAATGCATTTAATGCACCTGCCCAGATCTGTTCATCCTCTTACAATGATGCAGCTGCTGATGAACATGATGCAGGACGACTGACTGTGTGATGAAGCCTATTAGAATGCAGCTATACGCATCTACAATTCAAGATTAAAAAATGGCTGTGTATGGGATTTATATAATCAGTTTAGCAATATCACATGAAAGCAGCACAAAAGTGCTGTTTTTTCTCCAAACAGCTACCTGATTGCAAATGTGATATTAATTTTACTCAACAGTTCAATAAACAATAATGCAACACATTGTGATACATTTTAGACACAATATTATCCGTTTTGCTCAATTTTACCAACAAAAAAAAGCTAAAAAAAGCCACAGTGGAAATGTTGTGCATCTTTGTGCAACACACAGCACTTTCTCCTTACTGAATGAATCAGCGGACTCGAGGGAGTGAATGATTCAGTGACTCATTCATAAAGACAGTCATTGGTTTGATTCTGAATTCATCTGCCATTTGAACAAATCAGTTGAATGAATGACTCATTTTTTTTAACTCATGAATACCCATTTATTATCATTATTTATGCAATGTTGAATCAAAAACATTTCTTTCTAAAGCTACTTATTTATTCAATGCTTTGATGCTTTAAAGCACAATAATGGCTTAAAAAGGTATTTGAAGGGTAATTTATCCAAAATTGATGTGCGATTAATTTGCCATTTAATTAATTAATTGGCACATGGTGTAATTAATTAGATTTAAAAAATTTAGTTACTCAGTAGTTCTGATTTATTTTTTTACTTTCACTTTAATATTCAGTTGACTGCTTTTGCAGAGCCCCAAATTCCATAGTGTGTTTTTGATGTTCACAAAACTACAAAATTAAATATATTATAGTGGTGAAATATAGTGGTCAGTGTTAGTTCATGTTAGCTAAAGCATTAACTAATCTTAACAAATGGGACCTTATTGTAAAATGTTGCAGATTCTTTTAAAATGGATAAATACATGTTTAAATATATAGTGTAGCAATACAAATATGCATATTTTTACATTATTTTTTTATTTTCCACTTATCCATATACCAATTCAGCTTAAAAATCCAATTTTGCAGTTGACCATATGTTAGGAACCATAGTATTTTTACATTTTTAAACAAAATAAATAATTGTAAAAGTATTTACATTTTTCACAGTAAATTTTATGATTGGGATGTATTTAAAAGCTAGTGTAAAGCCTTGAGTGGGTACCTGCGCTCGAACAGTGCATGAGAAACCCCACATGGCTTTATCTGGGGTGTTGTGCTCGCGTCCGCTTCTCATCTCAAAAGAGAACGTCACAGTATCTCCTTCCACCTGAAAACACATCAGATTAGAAGCAGTGATATCTGTAGATTGTATAAATTATTCAGAATGTGCTTTATTTGCCAAGCGTGCACAAACACACAAGGAATTTGGTATAATTTCAAGAAGCACTAGGTACTTACATTTAATTCAATTGAATTATTTTTCTCTATTCTCTGGTGTATACAAGTAGAATTAAATAAAAACTTACGGTCATATAAATCTAGAAAAATTAAATAAGTAGAGGTCAACCGATAGTGGATTTTACCGATACCGATAGCTAGGTTGGTCCACACTGGCCGATACCGATAAATCAACCGATAGTTTTAAAAATACATTCTGAACTAAAACTAAAATAGTGCTTTACTATTTAAAAAAAAAGAACCATAATTTTTAAATGAATCAAATATTAATATGAATTATTAAATTGATCATTAACGTTCATTATTAACTAATGTTAACAAAATAAACAATTTTAAAAATGTAATAGTAGCCTAAATGTTGAAATGAACAAACTCTAATTAGGAACAATACTTATAGAGCTTTCATTAATGTTAATGTTTACAAATGCACTCTTATTGTAAACAAAGTGTTACCATTTCATATCAACAGTCATGCTTAAAGAAAACAGTCTAAAACTGTTTATTTAACCACCAAATGGACAAAAGTTCACTTCAAGAATGAACAATGCGGCATAGATGAGTCTGCAGTTCGGTGTAGAAAAAACAGAGCCAACAGAAAGAAAAATTGCGATGTACATAGGCCTATAGCTCAATAAATGAAGCATACTTTATTAGAGCCACAGAAAAACAAATGTTTTGCTGAAAAATGCACAATACACAATGTTACAGCCTAGGGTACGCCTCTAGAGGCCGCTCTCGCACTGTATAATGGCAGCGGACCATTCTCAGCCGCTCCAGCAACAGATGCAATGGGAAAAAAACGGAAACTGGAAAAACTATCAACATGGATTTTTGCCGATAACGATAGTTCCAACAATCAACTATCGGTGCCGATTAATCGGCAAAACCGATACATCGGTCAACCTCTAGAATTAAGGTAGAAAAATTTAAAGCAATACATATCAAAATAGAGTAAGCAAAAGACTTAATGAACAGATGTTTACATTAAGCATTATGTGGTAGTACATCGGGCAGGACATACAAATGCTTGACTATCATTCATCGTCCTCAAATATGGCTTATCATCTGAAATATGTAAGTATTAGCAACTTTACATGGCCGCTCAATCAAATGTTAACCTAAAAAATGTGCGCTACTCAGTGTGTGGAAGATGTACAGTAGTGATCACTGCAGGACAGATGGAGGCGCCGGTGCGCTCACTTGCTCTTAAAATACTCCCTCATTTTTGCTCATACAGACAAGAGTAATACATCTTTCGAATATGTAAACTCTACGTTTATTTGTGTGCACTCACAATAACAACAAAACATTGTGCTTTTGTAAAATAATGGTACAAGTAAACAGAATGCATTTTCTGCCGTCTCGGTCTCTGTGAACTTCAGCGCGAAACTCCGCGTAAGCTTACATTACAGACATGAAAAATATATCTATAGAGATGTGAAATGTTTACTTTCAAATGAACCAATTCAAATGGAAAACAAATATTCTCAGATTACGTAATCCGTATGAAACTTGCATACAGGCGCATCACTACTGCGGAGATGACGAGTCGGTGTCGCCGACTTCATCTCTTTAAACTGAAAACAAAAAGCACACTAGTTTATCAATGAATTATTCAAATGTTAATGCAGCCTCCTTACTGTTTTTCCTTGACACATTCATAATCATTACTTCTGCCGGTGCGCTGTAGCAAGCTTTATGTGTGCGCTTGAGTGCTTATTAGGCTCTGAAGGCAATTAAAGGGTCATTATTATTTTTTTAATTGTTTATTAATAAATGTCGACTAATGTTTCAAATTAATGACTACTAGTAGACCAGAACAATCTATAGTTGAGGGCAGGCCTAATTTTTTTTTTTTTATAATATGTACTTTAAAGCCATTTGAAGGCAAAAACGTAAACATTGAGATACTATGTATAGCAAATAGTGTCCAAAGGATGAAAAATACTGAGAGAAATGCATTTTTATACACTGTATATCACCTGTCCTTACCATCCATATTTTTTAACTCGATTATTGTAGTATATTCTATTATAAATCACACACCTGACTAGTATAGAGGACCAGCTGGACCAGCTGTGGCATGAGAGCGTCAGCGAGCGTGAGGGTTTGTAGGTTTGGGTGCATCAGCGACGTCAACAGGACCGGCAACAAGTGACCCAACATCGTGGCCTTCGTCACCTGTTCAAGTCCTCTCAGTCTTGACATTAAAAAAAAAACAGAGTGTCGAGAAGATGATAAGTAAAGGAAAGTGCTTCAGTACAAACTAGGCCTGTCAGTTAAAATTTGTAAACTAATTAATTACATGGTGTCGATTAATTAATCGAATTAATCGCAAATTACATTTGGCTGTGAAAATACCCCGAAAAGATTATTTAAAGCTATTTTTGTGTTAAATGAGAAAGTATTAAGTAGACATTACAAATAGTAGCTTTAGAAAGAAATAGGCTATTTCATTTGATTCAACATCAAATTGATTACACATAAACATTTAGGCTACAATGGCCTAACATAAACTATGGAATGTAAAAAGATAACCTGAGAAAAAAATGTTTAATTCATGCAATGGAAGTCGTTGATCACCAAAACAGCTTTGGTACCAACAGTCTTCAAAATACCTTTTTTTATGTTCCACAAAAGAAAGAAGCCCAAGTCATTCAGGTTTGAGTAAATGACGACATACTTAATTTTTTTGGGTGAACTCTCTCTTTAAATAGTTTCTCCCTTTTTAAACTAATACAGCCAGCAGGTGGCGGTAAATGTCTTTACGAGTCATTCATTCAATTTGTTCAAACATCTGATTCATTCAGGAATGAAGTAAACGGCTCTCTGGGCATTTGAATCATTGATTCACTCGATTCGTTCAAAACGCGGATTCATTCAAAAACTAAACACCGCTGTCTTCCTCGGAGACGCACAACAGTTCTGCTGTGGCTTTATAGGTAATATTTTTGTTGGCAAAACTGAGCAAAAACAGACAATATTGTGTTTAAAATATAACACAATATTAACTTCCTATTTACGGAACTGTTGTATAAAATCACATTTGCACTCGTGGTATTCAGGCATAAACGGCACTCGTGTGATATTGCTTATGATATAATATAAATACGAGACAAAACTCATACAGGAGCATTTTTGCCCCATATCTTGAATTTTAGGGCATAACTGCATTTAAGGAGCTGTTGCCCTGCATCATATTTGTGACACTGGACCACAAAACTTAAGTGTCAATTAAATTTTTTGAAATTGAGATGTATACATCATCTGAAAGCTGAATAAATAAGCTTTCCATTGATGTATGGTTTGTTAGGATCGGACAATATTTGGCCGAGATACAACTATTTAAAATTTGGAATCTGAGGGTGCAAAAAAAATAAATTCCAAATATTGAGAAAATCATCTTTAAAGTTGTCCAAATTAAGTTCTTAGCAATGCATATTACTGATCAAAAATTAAGTTTTGATATATTTACGGTAGGACATTTACAAAATATCTTCATGGAACATGATCTTTACTTAATATCCTAATGATTTTTGGCATAAAAGAAACATCTATAATTTTGACCCATACAATGTATTTTTGGCTATTGCTACAAATATACCCGTGCTACTTAATACTGCTCTTGTGGTCACAATTGTCAACAGTCTACTGTATGAAATGTAAGATGACGCACAGGTCTGGGGGTGAGGCCAGTGTGTTAACTGCATTAAAATATTTTAATCACATTATTTTTTTCATAACTAATTAATTAAGTTCACGCGTAAACTGACAGCCCTAGTACAAATACAAATAAAGCATCACCAAAGAAGTGTTTTGCTGATATCTGAATGCACCTGGCCTCTCGATCGCTGATGCTGCTGTTGATGAGGGAGCTGGTGACTTGCTGAATATGTAATCCGTATGAAACTTGCATACAGGCGCATCACTACTGCGGAGATGACGAGTCGGTGTCGCCGACTTCATCTCTTTAAACTGAAAACAAAAAGCACACTAGTTTATCAATGAATTATTCAAATGTTAATGCAGCCTCCTTACTGTTTTTCCTTGACACATTCATAATCATTACTTCTGCCGGTGCGCTGTAGCAAGCTTTATGTGTGCGCTTGAGTGCTTATTAGGCTCTGAAGGCAATTAAAGGGTCATTATTATTTTTTTAATTGTTTATTAATAAATGTCGACTAATGTTTCAAATTAATGACTACTAGTAGACCAGAACAATCTATAGTTGAGGGCAGGCCTAATTTTTTTTTTTTTATAATATGTACTTTAAAGCCATTTGAAGGCAAAAACGTAAACATTGAGATACTATGTATAGCAAATAGTGTCCAAAGGATGAAAAATACTGAGAGAAATGCATTTTTATACACTGTATATCACCTGTCCTTACCATCCATATTTTTTAACTCGATTATTGTAGTATATTCTATTATAAATCACACACCTGACTAGTATAGAGGACCAGCTGGACCAGCTGTGGCATGAGAGCGTCAGCGAGCGTGAGGGTTTGTAGGTTTGGGTGCATCAGCGACGTCAACAGGACCGGCAACAAGTGACCCAACATCGTGGCCTTCGTCACCTGTTCAAGTCCTCTCAGTCTTGACATTAAAAAAAAAACAGAGTGTCGAGAAGATGATAAGTAAAGGAAAGTGCTTCAGTACAAACTAGGCCTGTCAGTTAAAATTTGTAAACTAATTAATTACATGGTGTCGATTAATTAATCGAATTAATCGCAAATTACATTTGGCTGTGAAAATACCCCGAAAAGATTATTTAAAGCTATTTTTGTGTTAAATGAGAAAGTATTAAGTAGACATTACAAATAGTAGCTTTAGAAAGAAATAGGCTATTTCATTTGATTCAACATCAAATTGATTACACATAAACATTTAGGCTACAATGGCCTAACATAAACTATGGAATGTAAAAAGATAACCTGAGAAAAAAATGTTTAATTCATGCAATGGAAGTCGTTGATCACCAAAACAGCTTTGGTACCAACAGTCTTCAAAATACCTTTTTTTATGTTCCACAAAAGAAAGAAGCCCAAGTCATTCAGGTTTGAGTAAATGACGACATACTTAATTTTTTTGGGTGAACTCTCTCTTTAAATAGTTTCTCCCTTTTTAAACTAATACAGCCAGCAGGTGGCGGTAAATGTCTTTACGAGTCATTCATTCAATTTGTTCAAACATCTGATTCATTCAGGAATGAAGTAAACGGCTCTCTGGGCATTTGAATCATTGATTCACTCGATTCGTTCAAAACGCGGATTCATTCAAAAACTAAACACCGCTGTCTTCCTCGGAGACGCACAACAGTTCTGCTGTGGCTTTATAGGTAATATTTTTGTTGGCAAAACTGAGCAAAAACAGACAATATTGTGTTTAAAATATAACACAATATTAACTTCCTATTTACGGAACTGTTGTATAAAATCACATTTGCACTCGTGGTATTCAGGCATAAACGGCACTCGTGTGATATTGCTTATGATATAATATAAATACGAGACAAAACTCATACAGGAGCATTTTTGCCCCATATCTTGAATTTTAGGGCATAACTGCATTTAAGGAGCTGTTGCCCTGCATCATATTTGTGACACTGGACCACAAAACTTAAGTGTCAATTAAATTTTTTGAAATTGAGATGTATACATCATCTGAGAGCTGAATAAATAATCTTTCCATTGATGTATGGTTTGTTAGGATCGGACAATATTTGGCCGAGATACAACTATTTAAAATTTGGAATCTGAGGGTGCAAAAAAAATAAATTCCAAATATTGAGAAAATCATCTTTAAAGTTGTCCAAATTAAGTTCTTAGCAATGCATATTACTGATCAAAAATTAAGTTTTGATATATTTACGGTAGGACATTTACAAAATATCTTCATGGAACATGATCTTTACTTAATATCCTAATGATTTTTGGCATAAAAGAAACATCTATAATTTTGACCCATACAATGTATTTTTGGCTATTGCTACAAATATACCCGTGCTACTTAATACTGCTCTTGTGGTCACAATTGTCAACAGTCTACTGTATGAAATGTAAGATGACGCACAGGTCTGGGGGTGAGGCCAGTGTGTTAACTGCATTAAAATATTTTAATCACATTATTTTTTTCATAACTAATTAATTAAGTTCACGCGTAAACTGACAGCCCTAGTACAAATACAAATAAAGCATCACCAAAGAAGTGTTTTGCTGATATCTGAATGCACCTGGCCTCTCGATCGCTGATGCTGCTGTTGATGAGGGAGCTGGTGACTTGCTGAAGCGTCTCCAGAACCTCGTCACATCCAACCAGGATCTTAGAGGCAAGTGATAGGATGCTGGTCTGCAGCTCCTGACGGGAACACGTTCATTCAACACACACATTTCTCAGAGAACATCTACAGCTGCTACAGAACTCAAGTACACTCTAGCATACTTTAAAAACAAAACAAAGAGTACTTAGTATAGAAACAATATACTTTAAAAGAATACACCTAGGCCTGGTTTCACAGACAGGGCTTAGACTAAACCAGGATTAGGCCATAGTTCAATTAGGACATTTAAGTAATTTGTATAAATGTGCCTTACAAAAAACATTACTGGTGTCCCTCGAGACAAAACAAAGGCATTGATATATTTTAAGATCAGTCAGTGCGAGTTTCTTTCAGTTGAAGCAGCTCAGACTTAGTTTAGTGTGGGACTAGGCTTAAGCCTCGTCTGTGAAACCAGGGGTTAATGTAATGTTTTCACACTTAATTGAAAATTAAGTGCAATACGATGAAAATGTATTATAGTTTAAATTGATATTAAATGCAATTATCTAAACATTATAGTGCTTTTTGACCCAATTAATTAGGACTTAATTATATATGTAATTTCATAATTACTTCTATTTTTAAAATATGGCTAAAGTGTACTTAAATATATTTGCAGTTAAACATTTGCAATGATGAAGATGCAAATCAGTGCATTTAAAATATATTAACTTAAATGTAATATAGAACAACACACAACAGTCAAAATTATACTCCTGTACTTTTCACGTGATTTGTTAGTCAACACATCAAAATAAGTGTACTTCTTCAATGCATGACAAAAGATTAAAACATAATTATTTAAAACATACTTTTAAGTAAAACTTTTAATTTGATATTATTACAAATTGCACTTCTAACGTGTACTTGAGTGTTTTAAGTCATGAACAATTCTGTTAAGTGTCCTTTTATTTCATTAATCTTATATTATCTGCAAGTATGTTTTCTTAAAATACACTCTTAAGATTTGTAGTACACTACAAGTGCACAAACAGTAATTAAGCTTGTTTACAAGGGAAGGAAAAGTACAATGGCTCTGTTTTAAATCTTAGTGCCTTAGAAGGCAGCTGTCTATGTAGACAGCAATGCAGCTCACTAGGTTTTAGAACACTGCTAATATGTGTTAATGAGAAAAAAACAAAGTGTTAACCCACATCAAAAAGTTAACTTCCTATCCTACTAAAGAAACCTACATTACCAGTGCTTATTACATAACAATTTGCCAAATAATAAATAAAATAGACATTAAATATATTTAATTACTTCGTGAAAAACTCTTCGTGAGAAACATGCATGCACACACACACACACACACACATGCTGCAATGCCAAACTTTTACTTAAAGCTGAATATCTGGTACACACTACAGTACAGACCACACTATAATGAACCGATTTAATACCAATGCAATGAATTCCTGTATGTTCCCCCTTTCCTGGATGGAGCCGCCGGCAGTCCACACTAACCAATCCGAGAGACCGTAGGGTTTTTAAAGGGGATGTTTACCTGTACCTTCATTGTTTCCCCTTGTAGGGAGCTGTCACTATCATCAATGTCATCCGGGTGGAGCAGGATGGTGTTGCTGAGCAAATGGTTCTGCACAGCCATTAAATAACGCTACATAACAATTTGCCAAATAATAAATAAAATAGAAATTAAATATATTTAATTACTTCGTGAAAAACTCAACTTTTTGGGGAAACATGCATGCACACACACACACACACACACACACACACACACATGCTGCAATGACAAACTTTTACTTAAAGCTGAATATCTGGTACACACTACAGTACAGACCACACTATAATGAACCGATTTAATACCAATGCAATGAATTCCTGTATGTTCCCCCTTTCCTGGATGGAGCCGCCGGCAGTCCACACTAACCAATCCGAGAGACCGTAGGGTTTTTAAAGGGGATGTTTACCTGTACCTTCATTGTTTCCCCTTGTAGGGAGCTGTCACTATCATCAATGTCATCCGGGTGGAGCAGGATGGTGTTGCTGAGCAAATGGTTCTGCACAGCCATTAAATAACGCAAGCTTGGTGACGCTGCCTGTTAATGTGGAAGTGCTGTCAGTTAATCAGACACAGCAAACTGTATGCATTCATACAGACAATTTATTTCAAATTATGGATGTGTTTTCCCTTGTGAAAAAGAGGTGCACTTAACTGTACTGAATGTGCACTTGTAGTGTACTTCAAATCCTAAAAGCATATTTAAAAAAAAAAAAAAAAACCTGTACTTGTAGATAATATATTAATGACATAAAGGCCACTTAAGTGGCTTAAAGAGAGACTTTCATAGTTGTTCTTAAGTGACCTTGGTAATAATGTCAAATGCAAAGATTTAAAGTAAATTTTACATCATTTTAATAATCCTTTGTTGTGCTTTAAAGAAGTGCACTTATTTTGATGTACTAACATACTAAAGCACATGTAAAGTACATGAATACTTTACTGAATGAATATTTATTTTTAGTAATTTATCAAAATATTTAAAAAGATTTGCTGCATGGTTGAAATATGCTACGATAAAAAAAATCGTTTTTTTAGAGGGAAAAAAACATAAGTCGTGTCTAAGTCGCATTTTATTATTTAATTCAGAAATAGGCCTAATGCCGACGCGAAATGTTTACAAACATTATAATAAACACTGTAAACATAGCAAGGCTATTTTAGCTCCCCTCACTCCACAACAAAGCCTTTCAATTAACAGTATTTAGAAAAGAACAAGAATTAAAAATATAAGAAGCTATAGCTAAACGACAAGACAAAACAAATTCATATAGGCTAAAACGAAACTGAAACCAACGTTGCGTCTCTCATTCGACACAAAATCAAATGTTTCTGTATTCGCGATATATTTGAATGCCAAAATATTATTTATTATGTAGCCTAGGCTTCACTGGCGTTCAAACATCCACGTAAAACAACATGTTTTGCATAACATCACTGCGGTACGTGATAACGCTTAACGGCACAGATTTGACTAAATATTTAAACTGAGCAGTGTGTGTTTTCTCCATATGTTTGACTGACTGTATTTTATTATGATAATGAACAGGCTGCATTGTCAAGGTAGCAATGCTTAACTATGTGTGTGCATGCAGCGCTGGCGCATTCACTTGAATTTGTTCCTTCTAACAGAAGCAACTACTCCTTTTAGTCACAAAAATAATCAGAATTGTAAAAGGTTTGCCTTTGTCTACATTCACAATAAAAACAAATCTTTGTGCTTTTATAAAATAGGCCTATAAGAAAAATAGGATGCCGCTTTCTGCCGTCTTGGTTTCCTTTCGCGCAGCACAACAATGAACCGAAACTCTGAATACTAGGCTACTTGTTTTTCTTTCGTTTTCTTAATTTATTATTTAAGTAAAAACATATTTCTCGTATAGGCCCATTTATCGTTATATATATAGCTTAGCTTTATTATGTTTTTCTCCGCTCGCAGAAGCGCTGCAGGTGCGTGATGTTGAAATGAAGACCATGTGAATCCTCATGTTCTGTTGTTTGCTGCTTTTTGCGCATGTAGCCTAAAATTAATCCCCGGGAAACAAATGTTAGTATTTTTTAACGGGTCAAAGTCACGTATCCTTTCTAATTTAATTCAGTTCTAGTTTGAAATAATCTTGTCGGTTAACGGTTAATAATCGGTTAACGAGCGTCGGTTGTCGGTTAGGAAAAATAACCGAAATGAACATCCCTAAACTGTAGTGTATTATTAAATTTTACATTTAAAGTTTATACATTTTAAATTAATTAAATTACAACTGACATACAAGTTTTAATAGAAATGACATTAAAGTATATTTTAGTTTAACAATAATCCTTGTCAGTACATTCAACAGTACTTTAACCATATTTCAAAGACAATAGAAGTAATTATGAAATTACATATAAAGATGTACTACTTAAGTCCTACATAAAGGGTTAAGTGGGTCAAAAAAACACTCTAATGTTCAGCTAACTGCATTTAATGTAATTTTACAAAATATTTTCATCTAATTGCACATAACATGGAATTAAATTATTAAATTATTAATTAAATAAACATTACCTTCAGTTCATGCATGTATTTTTAAGTATATTATTTCAGTAACAGTACTCTTTTTTTTAAACTATGCTAAAGTGCACATCTTTTTCACAAGGGTTATGAAAGCTAATAGCTTGTAGAACTGCATCTTTTAACATTAATTCAGTTCACTTAAAAGTTCAATAAAATCAAAATGAACACTTTTTGTAATTCTTAAATGTATTTATGTGGAAGTCACATACAGGTACAGTGGAGAGAAGCTTCTGAAGGTCTTCCTTGGAAACGGTTTGACATTTGGTGATGAGCAGACATGACTCACGCACTACGGTCTTCAAGATACACTGCAACAGTTCATCTTTCAGCCTGCAGGGGAAGGTGGGAGAAAGTGCTTGCACATGACAGACATTAACCACAGAATCATCTACAACCACAGGCCCTATCATACACTCATACAAGTGTTTTTTGCTAGCTTCAGCCTGATGCAGTTATCATTTTCACGTCCTGTGGCACGTTGTTTAAATAGCAAATGCATTTGCGCCCATCTGTTCACTCATGGGCATGCTGATCTGAAAACGAGGCGTGTTCAGTCGCATTGCTATTTTGAGGCATCTGAAATAGACTGCGCCATTGACCAACTAAAACCTGGTCTAAAGTCAACGGCGCAGTATTTTTTTTATTTAAAGTGCGTGTTAGTAATATGCGCCTATAGGCGGGTCCACAATGCGCTCTGCTTATTACACACACAGGGACGCACAGCAGCACACAAACGTGCCAAATATTAAAAATTAAAGGATTGCAATGTAAAAGATTATTATTGTGTAGGCTACATAAATATAAAAATGCCTACATGTCATAATGGATAGTCATTGCATGTGTCAGATATGCATGTTTCATCTCCGGAGACGCGTTCTGTCTTTGCGCTTGCAAATTCCGCCATGTAAATAGCGAATTCGCCATGGCACGAGCGCAACTGGTTCTTAAAGGGAATGGGAGACGAGACTCTGATTGATTAATTGCACGTTATGCCCAAATCACACCCAGAGAATAGGGACAACCCTTTTAAACCACGACTGTTTTTCCCATCGTTAAACTAGCAAAAGTGGATCTGGACACACCCTAAGTGCACCTGCGCCTTGCGCTTTAGACCATGCACTTAGATAATTTAAATAGGGCCCTTACAGTCAGTTATCAAGGTGAATGACACCACATTTTTGTTGAGATGATAAGGAAAGAACTTGGGTTGTGATCACAACCCAAGATGATGAATGTACATTTTTAGCAGTAGAATAAAATACAGTGAACGATTTAAATTTAACCTAAGCACTTTCCGTCTGAAGAGTAGTGAAACTTGTTACCTGTAGTGGTCATCATCCTCACTACCAAAGCGGTTCTTCTGTAACTGGTTGGCAAGATTGTTTAATATAACATCACGCAATTGAGACAAACCACTGTTCTTCTCCCCTACAGAGAGATTAAAACAAAAAAAACAGTAATTATTGGCATATGTTGCTCATCAATATGAAATTGTTCAATGCTGACTTGACTTATAATTATGTTTGATTTCTGTACTGTGTGTGTCTATTTGCAATTCTCACCCTCTGTGAAAACAAATTTGAGCAGGTTGCTCAACTCCGATTCGCTCTGGTACAAGGTGTTTAAACCTGAGCTAATGAGAATAAAGAAAAATGGTTTATAGTTGTTGCAGATATTGAGATATTCTTTGACTTTTGGGATTTTCTGACTTCATTTTAAGGCTCACCTGATGGCGAGACACACTTCTCTTTGTATTTCCGGCTCTATCTGATCGTGAGGAGCCATGAGTAACTGCCACAGCAATAGTCCAGAGCGCTTCACACAGTCTCGGTTCTGCTCTGCATTTAGATTAAAAAACTGGAACACAACCTGGATTAAAAAAAAAAAACGTATTTTTATAATATTTTTTTTCTGCATAGTTTCCGTTAACAAAGTTACCACTACTACTGAACAGCTTCATCAAAATTGATTAAAAGTCATATAATATTCTAGCGAAACCCCACCTGAAAGACGACCAGAATGCAGCGGATGATGCAGGTGTCTCCGTTAACCATGGCCTTCTCCATGACGTCACATATGGAGCTGAAGTGGCAGGCCTCCATGGGCTGCTTTCCTATGAAGGGTCCCAGGTGCAGATTACTGCTGGCTGCCAGCAGGTTGAGCTGATGGATGCACATGGCGCCAACATGATGGAGCAGCTGGTTTATCACTTTGGATGTGCCTATCATCTCTTCTGTCACGAAGAGTCAAAAACATATTATAGGGAAATTGATACAGATCATTCCTGCACAAAATGTCAGCACATCTAAACAAAAAACAAAACCTTTGTGTAGCAAGTGGCCTAAAACACGCTCGCCCTTGTGAAAAAGAAGTGCACTTAATTGTATTGAATGTGCACTTGTAGTGTACTTACTCTTAAAATTATATTTAAAAAAAAAACAATGAAACTGTTAATGTTAATGAAATAAAAGGCCACTTAAGTGACTCTTTACTTTGTGTAGCAAGTGGCCTAAAACACGCTCGCCCTTGTGAAAAAGAAGTGCACTTAATTGTATTGAATGTGCACTTGTAGTGTACTTACTCTTAAAATTATATTTAAAAAAAAAACAATGAAACTGTTAATGTTAATGAAATAAAAGGCTACTTAAGTGACTTTCATGAATGTTTCTTAACACACTTAAGTACACTTTTAAGAAGTGACATTTTTTAATAATGTCAAATTCAAAGTTTTACTTTAGATCACATTTTAATAATCCTTTGTCGTGCTATTTTGATGGTTTGACTAACAAATTAAAGCAAACGTTAAGTACTCAATTATCATTTTAACTGCAATGTGTTATTTAAAATCAATATATTTTAAATTTACTAAATTGCAACTTCATCGTTACAAATGTGTAATTAGAAATAGTTTTAAAAACACAACATATACATATTTTAGTTTGTCAGTACATTCAGCAGTACTTTAATCACATTAAGACAACACGGTGTACTGTTTCAAAAGTCGAAAATGTTTAGTTGTACAATCTTACACCATACAAAAGTCAATTCTGTTTACATAGGCATATAGTTTCAGTACCTTTAGGCTGACTGATGACGTGACTGACGCCCAGCCGCTGGCACACATGATGGAAGGCCTGATTCCCAGGATTACACCACTGGTCCATGTAGTCGCTGGAGCACGTCCAGATTAAATTGTTAAGTGCATCATAACAGGCCCCTGGAACAGTCATTAAAAAACCATAACGTCAGTACTCGTATAACACTTTAAAATGAGAGGAAAGCTTGAAAAATGAAACAAAAGGAAATAAAAAATGGAAAAATAACAACCTGAATGTGACAGTGTTTTTGCCGTATTTATTAATATTTTGAATTAGCTTTTATCTTTATATTTTCAGTTTATTTTGGATACTTTTATTGTGCGCTTCTGTTATTTTGTCACAACACTTTCTCTGAAGCCTGCATTTATACTACATTATAATGCATGCATAATGCTTTATAAACAACCTTACAATATGTTGTATCATCTGATTAATAATCATAACAACAGTTGCAATACATTATAATACTTACCTATTGGAATATGATGCATTATAACACCAGATAAAACCTGCATTTATAATGCATCATAAGGGTATTCTTAATGCATTATAATGCACGCATAATGCCTTATAAATAATATATACAGTAAATACATAAATACACCTATTTGTGGCTATAACTTACAATGCAATACAAATACAGGCTTCATATTAAGCGTTACCGTCATTTTTATTTTATTATAAAAAACAACAACAACATGAATTTGGTAAAAACCTTGATTTTTCTCAATATGAATAGCAGTGTTTCCCCTGCCATTCCCCTGTCGGTGTCCATCTGCTCCACCCCAAAATGTCTGATTCTTACCCAGTCCTGCAACCTGAGCCCCGCGACCCAGAGAACTTCCAGGAGCATCTACCAGATCAGCACGACTGCTAAACTGACCGTCAGCCAGGTTAAACACCAAACTAGATGCCAAGACTAGGAAAGAAAACACAAATGTTAACAAGAGGTTGAGAATGTTTAATAAAAGCTCCAAAATAAATGATGCCTGGATTGCATGTACTTCTTGATGCTTTATTAAAGATCACTAGGTTTGGAAGAACATGAGGGTGAATAAATGATGAAATTGTTTTCATTTTTGGATGAACTAACCCTAGAGAAAAAGCTATATTTTTAAAATACATCTATTTCATACTAAGTTTATAAAATCTACTTATATATTTGCTGGCATATCGCTCGAGACTTACTGATATATAAATTATAATTAAACTTTATTTGGAGTGTAGGTCTGCCACTAACGACTATTTACATTTCGATTATTCTATCAACTAATTTATCGATTAATCGATTAATCTAAACGATTGATTTCCCACAAAAAAATAATAAATTTTACTTAAGAATATTTTATTACACTATATTTCATTTAAAGGAGTATTTCCCAGAAATATTATTTACCAGAATTTATTTCAATGTGCAGTATTTCTGAAAAAAAAAAAAACTTAAATAAAATCAATTAATTGGAGATGCTTTTGATTATTAAAATGTAATGGAACCATTAAAATGGAATCCAGAAAATAATGGAAAACAGAATTTGGTAAAGATAAAACTGTAAGACTCAATTCATTAGACAGGCTTTTTGATTAATAAAATTTAATTTAACCATTAAAATGAAAATGGAAATAAAACGGATTTCATAGTGCCCTATAATTATAATTAATTTATTTGTGGTAATAAAAATAGATGTTAGTGAACAATTGCCTTTAAAATTACTTAAAATACATATATAATAGCAACAAGGCAATAATAATTAGTTCAAATAAAGTATCAAAAGCAAGAAATCATATGGTTTTATTGAACAAAACTGTTAAAATACATAATGTATTATAAACAATTGAGCTAATGTACATTACGCATTACAGTAAAGGCCTGCAGGGGGCGCCAACGGCCTGATGATTGTTTTTACACATTACTGTGCGATCTAATCCATGTTTAATATTGACCAAGCACCATTTAGTTCAAATGTCCTCTTAATCTTTAATATTTGGCCATTTCTTTAGGACAGAAATGCTATAGCCACTGTAATTAAATTAATATGTGGACAT